CTTTGCTCAATATACAATTTCATACTTCTTTAAATCTATATCGATAAAGACGACCTGACCCTTCAACATAATTAATCTGTGTTTATTTCTTCCATAGTTTAGACGCACTTAAACTCCTTGTTAGCAAAGAATCTTAGTTAACTTAACGACGAACCGTTTAAGCTAACAACGGCTAGTTTTTGTCAGGCAGTAACTTTTTTTTAACCTCCAACCCCTATAATTTTCGTCTTGACCTCATTCCATTACTTGAATTGAAATCTGGACTTTGAACCGGTTCTTATTGTGTTAAAAAATATCTCATAAATCACATTCGGCAGGTAATAAATAATTTTGGCTTCTTAAGTGAATGGATTGATCATTTTAGCAGTTCACTTAGTATCACTTGAATTTTATGTTTATCATTTTGAATATCGGCTAGTTTGCATGGCATGGGAAATGGAATAATAGCTTTGTATAATACGTTAAAAATTAGTATCTTTTCTGCGATCGCTAAAAAAATCAATTAGGTTATATCACAATGAAGCAAATGTGTTTCTTCCAGATATCATTATACAAAATTATTCCTTTTACCTGCAGTTACATTGTGGGCATTTTATTTTCGATACATGTAGAAAAACAGAATCACAACGTCTTCTTCTATAAAGTTACTGATTATTTAACACGTTATCATGATTAATCGTCACGGCACGTTGATAGTTAATATATTCTTGCTTTGAACATACCATGTGAGAAGACCTTTACAAAACAAAATATTATTTCTGTACTAATCCTGACGAAACTAACATTAACTTTATGATCCGGTTTCATTCGTCCTAATCATCGATATTCTGGATAAAAACACTTTGTCATCAGTTCTAATTATACGTAACAGAAATAAATTATCATCATTAACCTTAGTTAAGCCTGCAAAAATCTATGTCGTATGCTTCCGTGATTCTAATATGGTCTACAAAAATTGTGAATGTAAAAAAGGATACTAATTTGCAAGCTCTAATTCGCTTTCATACAAATGTGCAGCCATGACCGAAATTTTTTACTTAATTTGCGTAATGAGTTACAGTTAATAATTTCAAATAAGGTGGCATATGTGTGTGAAATTTTCAGCCCCATTATACGATAAGCAACTCATTATGTAAATTATGTAAGTGCACATTAAATGCCATTAAAAAATCACATTTTTTTGCATAATATAGCAAATAGTTCATTATTTTATTAATCGTGTAATCGTGTAATATAGAAAATTACAATCAAGATTAAAACTAGCTAATGATATTTTTGAATTTTACATACCAAATATACATTACATATAGCGATTTAATAAACGGGATAATTCAGATTCTTCTCGACGAAACAGCTTCTTTTTATCAGTTACAATTGACATCCCGAAGTCAATAATATATATATTACTTTTTTCGTTAACTAAGATATTTTCTTCTCTAATATCATTGTGGAGAATGTTATGACTATGAATTATCTTTAATGCCTTGAGAGCATTACTTTTTTGCCGTTGTTCTATCTTATGTAATCTCAGCATAGTACCAACAATTGTTGTACCAATAATATAGCCCATCCCGCCTCCATAATAACCATAACATACCAATTTTGGTATATACATTCCTTGAATTTTAGTAAGACGTTTGTATATTTCGATTTCATTTTGCAATTTATAAAAAAATCGGCTATTCTTATATAGATTTAAAGCCTTCAAGGCTATTGCTTGCCCATAGAATTCACATTGGTAAGTCCCTCCAGTTTGCCCATAGCCTAATAAACTCTTAAGCTTAAATTCTGCAACATCAAAATCCTGCTCTGTAATTTCCTCTTTATCTTGTGGTTGCTGCCGTGTTTCACGGTTGCAAGTAAACATGGATGACACATTTGAGCCATAATAAGAACTGCTCAGACTTCTAAGAACCTGTGTGTTTTCAGAGCTTTGCGGATCTTGTTGTAATGATAAATTTTGTCTCCTACCTCGATTAATTATATTATGATGGGGTGATGTGGGATCTCTCTCTGCTAACTGAGCCAGATATGCGTATGCCTTAAAAACTGATGGACTGGTTGAATCGCGTTGAAGAGCATGTGAAATGTGTAACTCTGTATGATTATTTTTTGGTCGATACATGAACCAGTGATAATCATAACTTGAAAGTGTACCGTATTGAAGTTGTAATGATGATAGGTAATTGTATATTTGCCGAATTACGTTATGTAAATGTCCACTAAAACTTTCTTCTTCCAAGTCTTCATTACTGATTTGCACCAAACCCTCTACAACGATTTGTCTCTTGATTTCGAGTGCCAAGATTTGTCTTCCATGAATCCCATTGTTAATGAGACGACAAGTGTAGACTGGTACAAAAAGACCAATATTAGGATCATCATTTGGAAAGTCAGAATCCTTCTGCTTCGCAAACTTGTATTTTTTCATAACTTTGTTCAATGTACTAAATATATTGACTTCCATAGCAGTGTAGATATTGGTTTCAACAACTACTTCTACATCATTAAAAAATTGAGGTGTCTCGTATCTCTCCTGTTCAATAAAGTTGTACTGATTTACTTCGGTCAAAAATCCTTCCCAACGCGTTATTCTTGTAGGCCAAACACCGCCTATATTTAGTGAATTGATTGAAGTACTAGTATCTGGAGGATAATAGACAGATGGCGGAACACATGATAAAACTTCATTAAGTGTAAGAAGTCCTAAAAACAAAAAAATTGCGTGGGTAAATAAATAATAAACATCTGTTGAATAATACGCGAGGTGTACAAACATAAATTATTTACAATTATATTTACTTTGTCTATTTATCTCATCAATCAAGGTGCCAAGTTTTTTAGCTGGTCCATAAGGAAAATTAAAGGGAGATGTAAGAAACTCTTCTTTGGTCATATTAACAAAAGAATGACCATTAACCCTCTGGTTACGAAGTTTTGCAAAGTCATTTTTGTTAAGATTCAAGATTTTTGTTTGTAAAAAATTGATGAGCTGTTCTGTGTTAAGTCCTTCCACATCTTCGACCGTGAGATTATTAGACATGTTAAAATTAATCAAAGTTGTGCAGTTCAGAAAAAAAGAAAAAGGTAGGAATTAGGGATAGGATATTTATAAGAAATCTAAATATTTCCGATTCAGATAGTATAATACATCTGAGGTAAACAAATAATAATAATAAGAATATTACCTATTCACCAATTAATTTTCACAATATTTAATATAATAAACCTGTTTTGATTCGATTTTTTATCGCCACCAGTAAGTATTATATTTATGATTTTATAATTTATATATTTGATTCATCTAAATTGATTAATCGCGATCGCGTCTAAAAATTATTAAAATTTTTTATAAATAAAAATTTAAATTAATTATAATTAAATATAAATATTATTACTTATAATCTAAATCTGAAATTTATTTTAAATAACTAATAATCAATTTTTAAAAGTAACTTACTTTCAATAATATTATTAACCAGCTAATTTAAATTATGCGAAACCAAAGAAAAAAGTGAAATGCTTTGCAATATACCCAGCAAAATAATTTTTTTTTTCGGCACGGAATCTCATTATGTAAAATTTATATATAAGCAATAAAGTAACTTACTTTCTATTATTTAAATAAAAATTAAGTTTTAAATCAATTACGAGAAAAATAAAAATAATAAATAAATAAAGATCATAAATAAAAATAAAATAACATACCAACTACATAATTGTTTTTGGATATTGAACAAGAAATCGTATGAGAGCATATTCAGAAAGATTTTATTATCAAATATTTTCTATATGCCAGATAATTGGGTTTACTAGATAATAATTAATCTGGAAGCCAACTTGCTTTGAATCCCAAGAAAATATTGAATAATTCAGTTTTCAGTGAAATGTCATTTGGATGATATGGTAGAAAATCGACATCATCATAAAGAATTACATGTTCGATTATATTAATTACTATATAACGTTAAATAAAAAAAATTTTTATATTCTTAAATAACAACTACAAAAAAAAAAAAATACAGATAACTCATTAAATAAAATGTTAATTTTATAGATTAAAATATAATAGAATATGAATCTAGTATTATCATCATTAAAATTTTTATTAAAAAGATAAATTAATTATAAATAATTATATCTGACTAGATAATTATATAAAATTCATTACCATTTAATTCTCCCAATGTATGGCATCAGAAACTTGTTCTAACATTGATAATTTAAAAAAAAAATTTTTTTTTAACATGTTACTGAAAAAATATTGAAAATAATCAACATATTAAGAATATAATTAATGAAAATATACGGAATTATCATCTAATTGAGCATTGTTTCCATTATTTGTTCTTATCGTCATGATTGCAAATTATTTTTTTAGACAAATTTTAGAATACCGTCTCTGGCCTAGCTGTCAAATAAAATTTTTTTAAATGATGAATTTCAATGATTCTTACCAACTTCTGGAACTTGCCAAAGATATTATTAAGCTTTTTTATAACTTCGACTTTATCAGACATAAGTTTAAAAAAAATAAAAATTTGAATAAAGTTTGTCATACAATTGATCAAAAAATGCATTGCACAGCCAATGAAAATTTTTGAGGTATTGCTTATTTAACAACCCGTGATAAGATGCACTTGGCGTACAAATTTTGATTGATTTTCCCAGTTTCTAAAGTTGAAAAGAAGAATAATCTTTTGCATAAATTAATGTTCAGAGTTATAGAATCTTAATTAAAAAAAATTACCTACATCGACAAAAAAAGCTCCTCGTGGTTAAATAAATAACCATCACTCCCCATGTTTCATTTTTACCATGTTATTTGGGAACTTAGTTTTTTTATGGTGTGAAATTCAATTTGTTCTCTAATTATTTGTTTGTCACTTGATTAGTATAAGTTAAAGTTCTGTTTATTAAAATTATTCGTTACATTACAATCACGTGCCCAAGATTTTTTGTCGCAGATGTCAGATTATACATGGCCCAAATTTTTGTTGATTGTGCTGCTGGTGACGATGGATATGTTATGAATTGGTTTTCTAAATAAAAAAACTAAGTCGCTAATAGATTTATACAAAAATGAAAACAGAGAGGGTGTGACATTGGTGACAATAAATGTTGCGCCACTTACCTGACATGCCTAAAAAGACGATGAAAGGAACCTTTTACAAGCTCATTATGAACAGAAAATATTATTTTCCTAATGTTATTGCGCCACTTTCATTTTACAATCGATAAACGGAAAAGTAGAATCAACCTGAAAAAAGTAATAATAAAAATAAAAAAAAGAAATACTTTAAATGATTTAATGAAAAAAAACTAAATCAAAAATGCCTAAACTATGTATCAAACCCAAAGAAATCGTCATAAAATAAAGTCTTTTATGGAACAGAACCGAAGAGAAATCGAGAGAAAAGTAAAGGAACAAGAAATCAAAATCAACGATTAGTAATATCGAATCCGAAATAAATATATCAAATAAAAATAAAATTGTGTCGTCTGATATCTGCGCAAAACGATCCAGGAATCAATGCTCAAGATTTTTGTTCAATCGCTGCCTTTGTGAAAAATATGAAAAATAATTTTATTCTCGATATAACCAGATTTAGGTATGAGATTATTTTCGAAAACAAATTTCATCATTTCTTTTTTCATTAAGTAAACAAAAAAAAAATAAGATATAAATTGAACCACGTATACTATGATTCCTAATAAGCCCAATTTGATGTAGAATAAACTCGTAGGTCATTCCTTTTCAGTATAATTCTGGTTGGAAATTACTACATTACTGGCGGAATACGGAATACCTGACTCAAATATGGCGATTTTCTCGCTAATATCACCCAATACATGTCTCAAAGGTCATTACCGTTATAAAAATGTGAGATCGATTATAAGTTTAGCTCGATGTTTAGGACATATTCCTGTTGAAATGTCCATACATTACCAATAACCTCTTGTGCCTGATCAAATAAGATTTGTATACAATGCACTGTAAAGCTCATCATTCATTCGACGAACATGTGAAGCCAATTTTTCCTTCTGCACAAAAAGTCCCCCATATAAACTTTAATTAGTTGCTTTACCTCATGCCTTGGTATAGGTTCTCCATTTTTATAGCGAATCTGTGCTGTATTGCAAAACATTTTAAATGGTGATTTATCAGAAAAATTACTATGTTCCTTCATTCTCTTTGATGGGCTTTTGCCAATGTGATGAGAAGATTTATGGAATTTGCGGTAAGAAGGGGGACAGAATGAGGAATACAAACTTTATACCTGAGTTTGTAGAGGCTTTCTTTAGATGGGGTAAATTAGATTAAACTTCTCAGACTAGGTTTGCATTTATGCAATTTTTCAATTTGACCAAAGTGATTATGTGGGATAAAAACAAACTATATGGTATTTATTAAAAAATGACATATACATAATAATTTATATATATATTTATAAAAAAATGTGATTGTCTTTAAAATTTAAAAAATAAAATTGTTAGATTATTTCGCTATATAACAGTAAAATTATAGTTTTTGTGCAATTATTTATTTCAATTTTCATATAAAAAATAATCGTACAGAAATTCTAACATCAGTCGTATCATCAATCCAGTTAGCTTGATCAATTTCACTAAATAAATTCTATGGTAGGGAATGAATTCCACCTTTACATTTTAATTACAAATTATTTGTGTATATTTGATTAATCTTAATTTTCACTTGTATTTATAACAAGTTTGGTAAATCTTCTTCATAAGATTTCTCCATTTCTTACATTCATTACAATTCCTACATCAAAATATAAATTTGATGAATCTGTGGATCGTCGTTGGAAAGTTTTCTTTGTTTCATACATACAACAATACGCTTAATATAAAAACTACAAGAAAAAGATAAATGATAAACAAAAATAATCTTTTCCATTTATGGCATTTATCACATTTCCTGAATATCTGTCATTCTTTTCTAAAGGTCATCCATTTTTTTTGACTTTAAAGAGCTACATTTACAGTATACGTAGTTGTAAACTAGGATTTATATTAAAAGTATTACTTTTTAACCAAAATGCGTTAAGGAAGTTATATACTTCAGACATGTATTGCATGTGTACAAAAAGTGAAGATTTAAATTTAATCCATTGTGTTAATTGTGTTAGTATGTATTTATAAATTAATCATACATACTAATATTTAATTATTCATGTTATAGCGCAGTATTTGGTTATCAATTGTGGAGCTGCTATGGTGGAGTTAACACTTAGAGAAGTTTTACCAAATTTCAAATTGGAATAATTAGGTTCTAGTGGATTTTGTGGGATCACTTTACGTAGACAGAGAATTTCTTGAATTTATAACAAATAAATTTGGTCAGGAGTTTTAAAAAATCTTGAAAACAATTAAATGTCAAGAAATCAGACATTCATTTACTGGAAACAAGAATGATTATAAAATGAATCTTAAAGAAATTTGACTTGACACCAAACGATCTGTTATTAGTACCTATAAAGATGAATTGGAAAAAAATAAATGAATTGTAAAACTTTCTTGCGACGAATTTAAAAATATTTTTGATCCCATTATAAGACAAATTTTCCAATTGATTCAGGACAGCTATGTTTAGTAGGTGGTTATAGTGAATCGATATATTTACAAACGTGTATTAAAAAACCTTTTCAGCATATAGTTAACATTTTCGTAAGAGGATCGCTCTGTATACATTTTATTCCCAGTCAATTAATCATTATAACTTATGGCATTAAAAAGATGGATTATTTAATACATTAATAGAAAGAGGTACAGAAGTGTATGCAAATCAGGGATTTGAATTAAAGCTAAATCGGGGAAATTATTAATTTACATTGAATTGTATGAGACAACTAAAAGAAATCCTAAATTATGCGACTAACCTGGTGTTTATTTAGTCGGGACAATTAAATTTAGAGGTCAAACTATGGTATAATGAGTTAGGCCAGTCAAACCTAGTGGTCAAAGTGAGATTCATATTTACATAAAAATCAATATGAAATTTATATAAAAGTAGATTTACAGTATGAAATTATTATGCATACCTTGTTGGATGCTAAAATGAACATTAAAGAGGTGGGAATAAATAAAGTTACAGGAATTATGATTAAACAACCGCCTAAGTCAATTGACAGAGATTTTGAGATTCGTTTAACGATTTCGAGTTCATTGATCAAGATTACTGAATTATTTAAAAAATATATAATAACTCCATAATATCTTAGTGATTTAACTTACACCTTTAAATATATCATATATTATAATAACTTTGAATCAAAACCAAAAAGATTTGATTAGGGTCATCGGAAGGTAAAAGGAGTTTGACCGACTGGTTGACCAATTTACTAAAGGATTAAATGTCACACTTATTAGAAGAGATTGGAAACTTATTTTAAACTTTTTTTATTATTCACTTATCTATGTTTTTTTTGAATCCTATGTGGTAGCATAAAAGATATTTGACTATTTGAATGACTCCAGTTGAAGTGAATTACCTCTTATTTTTGAATATGGGAGGTTATTTTAAAATAAATTATTTTATTATTTAACGATGAGCGATGATTGGATTGGTCGACTAATTTTAAGATAGTAAAGAATTTTATATAGGATGAGAAAGAAAGTTTATTTCTTTAAAATGGCATTCCTTTAAAATATCAACTCATGGACGGATGGAGTCAGAAATGACCGATTTGACATTCCAAAGATCAAGGGCACACATCACACAAGCTTTCTGTTTCTAATTTATTTTAATATGTTCATATTATATTACGAACAGTTTTACTTTTCTGGCAAACTATACCTTGATCGGCTTTCATTTACAAATAATTGATGCAGTATTATTTTGATTGATATATATTTTTTATTAGGTTTTTTTGAAAGTTATGTCCTACATAATATACATGATAAATATATATAAATATATAAAATAAATCTATCTAATATCACATAATAATATAAATGTTGAGTCAGATATGTCATAATTATCAACTAATTCAAGCGGCCAAAAATGGTTGTCCTTTCTAATTTCAGGTATAAAATTGGTGGGATTCGCTTGGAAAGAAGGAAGAAAAGTAAGTCAGAATAGCATTTAGTTTAGTATTTGCCATTCGTATTTATTGTAATGGAACGTCAAAAATTGAGGCAAGTCTTTATTTACTTAATTTTAGATTAGTATTTTTTTTATCAAAAGTATTTTAATTTCATTAAATAGTTTCATAGATTATTTTAATATAATTAAAAGAATTGTGAACTGTTAAAAATTTCTGTGATATACGGTATAAATATTATTATTAATAAGAATTTAATACACTTTTAAATATTATAAAAGTGTAGTGATTTATGAACAAGAAAACGAAAACAAGATTCTGTTTAGTAAAAATTTATTAGTTTATGGACAGTAAATTCACTTGTCAAAAAACATGAAAAAAAAATATTCAAAAAATATATCCTGAAATATTCATTTATTATAATTTTTTTAATTATTAAATTATTTTTTATATAAAGATTTGTCATAACTGTTGTTCTGATGAAATGATGTAAAAAAAAAAATACGGAATAATTTAAATTTTGAAACAAAATGATTTTTTATTTTAACTTCAAAGATTTTTTTATTCTTTAGGAAATTTATTTTTTATAAGTTGTGGCTAAGCACCAAAACATATATTTTCAATCATAAAAAATTACCGAATGTATATGAATAAGTTATTAATTCAAAAATAAAGGTATGTAATTATTATTTCACTTTTATTTTCATTTGATTTCTAATTTTCAGGAACTGATAGTTTTTTATTTATAATATTATATCTTAAGAGAAGAGAAGAGCTATGTTATAAAGTTTGAAATTTAAGTTGGATTGATTGCAATCTTTAATTTGGGCTAATCCTTAACTTTGGCACATCAAGTTGAGACTGAAATTGATTCCTGAAAAAAGTTAGCTTAGGAATAAACTTAGTAAATAAGCAAATTAATGAAATTCTCATAAGAAGCATCCTATAATTAGATGTAACAGCAGTATCTATTATTAGCGATGTTGATAACTTCATTAATATGTGAATGGATCTCATGAAAGGTTATTTATAATAATTTATGTTCATATTTACATTAGAAAAAAAGAATTTGTGGTTTGAGATTTGGTTAAAAACACACGCTATCTATAGGAATGATGTGTATTTCATTTCTGTTAGAGCAAGTTAAACGAAAAAATTTATGATTTAAATAAAAATATGTTGATTATAAATTTTGTTCCTCTAATTTTATTAACAAATTTAATTAATTTATTATTTGGTCAATTTTATTCTATAACTAATAAAATTTACTATCAGATTTCTACGATTGCTTTTGAAAAATTAGAACTTTTAATATAGTATCAAATACATTGGACCTAAGTTAAATGAATACTTTAAATCTATGTAAACTTTTTTAAAGCTTTGGTATTTAACCATAAATAAATTAAATATATTCTGAAATTTTTTCCTTATAATCTCGTGCTTGCTTTTTTGAATCCATTTATAACTAAAGATTCCAATTGCTAATAAATTATGGCTCTAGAAATTCCACTTATAGCACCAATAATAACTTTCATTTCTTTACTTATTTGGTTTTCTGAAATATCTTTTTTTGTTGTTGAAGGCAGTGTTGGTAAATGACCTTGAAATGACCTCAAATGACTTCACTTTAATTATTTATTTCAAGTCAAAATGACCAAGATCATTTGAAAAAATAGTAAATGACCTTGTAATTTGCCATCACTAGTTGAAGGAGCATTTGGTTGTGTATTAGGCTCAGGTTCAAAATTATCGACCCAAATATATATATCTTTTGATATCTAACAAAT